ATCAATTCTAGGGTAAAAGAAAAAATATTTGGTATTGACACTTGAAACATTCCCCTCCTAGCCACATATCCAGTGACATAAAATTATTTATCCTTTCTTACATATTCAATCACACAAGTTGCTTCTACAGAATATACTACTAAATTCCATTTTCTGGATTTTCAAATTTGGAAATCAGCCACAAACACTGCTCAGCAGAGTCACTGTAGTCATTGTAGTCATTATTAAACTTGACAACATAAGTATAATGAGACAGGTGTCAGAAACTGGCAGACGGAGTAAAAAACAGAGTAAAGGTGCACTAATTTACTCATCTTAATTATTTAGGGAGTCAAGATATGACATAAAGCTGAATTTCTTTACCACACATCACTTGTCTAATAAATTCCTAAGTTATATAAAAGGTGCTGTGCCAACAAGAAGAAATATGTTTTTTTAATGAAACACATCATTTAATGCCTTTATTGAGCATTCTTTATGGCAAAACATGGTTCTAGTCACACTAGGCTGATTTTTTGGGCCATGATCCACTGGTCATAAAATCAACAGTAAGATACAATCCACATTTTTAAATGAACTATAAAAGAAAATGTTAAAGTGCATTGTATCTGGTAAGAATTGTAAAACATATTCCTTGTATGTACATATTTTTTATGTGGGGTAAGACTGTAATTATTTCTGAGTAAAACTATTCCAATTTTTCTCCCTCCTCCTTTGATGCCAGCTCTCAGCTGTCATTCGACTGCAGTCAGCAATTCTGCCTCTGTATAACCACTATTCACTCCTGGAGTTTATGAATTCTCATTTTCTATGAACGAAGAAACCAAACTGAACTCATCTTTATTTTCCCCATGCCCCTCCAAAATCTGTTCCAACTCCTACATTCCTTATGCCTACTAATGCTAAACAGCACTGTGCCAAGCTCTAAATTTTGGAATCATAGGTGACTCCCTTCCCTGCCCTTCCAATATTCTCAACCTCTATCCAATCAGTCGCCAAGTCCTGCTGATCCTCGTCGCATAGTCTCCCATTTACCTCTTTTCCCCCGCCGTCTTCCCTGTCCATGCTCTAGTTTGCGTCTTTATAACCTCTCACCTGAATTATCACAACAGCCCCTTACTGGTCTCCCTATTTTTTTCTTACCACAACCCATTATCCAAACGCTGTGAATATACTACTCCTTAAGAATGTATCAAAAATATGTAAAGCACTGAATACAACCCTTTACACACCTCTTCAACTCTCACAATAGACCTACCAAGATATTATCTTTTTTATAGATAAGGAACTAGAGAGATTAGACTTGTCCAAGGCCACACACAACTAAAAAACAATGGAGGCCAGTAGGGTGGCTCACACCTGTAATCCCAACACTTTGGTAGACTGAGGCAGGACTGCTTGAGGCCAGGAGTTTGAGAGCAGCCTGGGCAACAGAGTAAGAATCTGTCCCTACAAAAATAAAAGAATGAAAAAGTTAGCTGGACGTGGTGGCGCATGCCTGTAGTCCCAGCTGCTCGGGAGGCTGAGGCAGGAGGATCGCCAGAAGTTGCGAGGTTGTAGTGAGCCATGATCACACCTCTGCACTCCAGCCTGGGTGACAGAGTGACCCTGTCTCTGAAAAACAAAACAAAACTGGAGCCAAACCTAAATTCAGATCTGTGTAGTTCCCAGGCCCATGTTACTATAAAACCTATTCTGCCCTCTGTCGCCTAAATATCCCTGCACGTGGTCCCCAACCCCACCTTTCCCTTCAGGTAACAAAATTCATCTTCCCCTTCAAAATTCATCCCAAACATTTTCTTACAGGAAGCCTTCCAACTCCCCCTCCCCGGCCACGTTTCCACGACACCGGCGTTTCCCTGTGCCGTGTGCTGGCTGCTCTGCGATGCTTCGGTCACACGTCTGTTCCCTCTGCTGGGCTCTGTGCCTCTTCGGGACAACGATCGTGTCTCATCGCCACATCCGGCACGCAGCAAAGCGCAAACTGCAGCAGGCGCTTCCCACGCGTGAACGACCTCGTTCCATTTTAAACAGCAAGAACAACACTCTACATCTCTGCCTCTACCGAGGCACCCAACAACGCCTTCCTCGTGGCGGCTAAAATAATTCAGTTTGAACCAACGCGTAACCCTAACCCTAACCCCGCACACACGCCTCACGCACGCCCACAGCTGCCAAGGGAGGAGTGACAGGGGCGCATCTGCTTTGTGGCCTTGACCCGCAGGAAACCCGCATTCGAGAAAGTTCTGGGGAGCAGAGCAGTGAAGGGTAACTGGGAAGGTTTCTGTCGTATCGGATTCCGAGGGACATCGCGTCTCGGAACGTCCACGGGTGTTTCTCCCAGAGACACGAGCCTGGGGAAGGCGGAGCATCAGTTCGACTCACAACACAGTCGCCAACACGTCCGTTTCCCTCCCGCTTCCTCCCTGCGTGGGAAGCCCGCGGGCGCCATCGCTCCTGCCCTTCGTTACTTCAGAGGAGCGTGAGCGCCCCCGCCCTGCGACCGGGAAGTGCCCGCCCTGGGCACCCCACCGCCGCCCGCGTCCCCGTCGGATACGGCGCCCTCTGGCATCGCTGTCCTGACGCGTCACGCTCAGGGAGGGCGCCGCGCCGGTCCCGCCCGCCTCCCTCCTGCAGCCTCCCTCGGCGCCGCCACAGTCCACTGAGGCGCGCCCACGACCCACGGGAGCCGCCCGGGAGCAGTCCGCGACGCCCGCCCGCCTTCGCCCTCGCGCCCTCAGCCTCGCCCTCTCAGCCCTCTCAGCCCTCGCTCTCTCAGCCTGGCCCCTTCGCCTCCTCCGCCTCACCCGCCTCAGCCTCGCGCTCTCAGCCCCCTCAGCCGTCGACCCCTCAGCCTCGCCCTTTCACCCTCTCAGCCCTCGCCCCCTCAGCCTCGCCCTCTGAGCCCTCTCAGCCCTCTCAGCCTCCGCCCCTCCCTCCGCCGCGGCGCCCGAGGGCGTCCCAACACCCGCCACGGCACGTGCGCGCCCAGAGGACGTGCGCGCGCCGGGGAGACGAGCGCGCGCCGGGGGCCTGGCCTGCGCCTGCGCGGACCCGCCATCGGAGCCGCCGGGCATTCAAGCGGGCGTGCGTCCGCCACGGTCCCGGCCGCCGGCGTCCCGCACCTGCTGCGTCAGTAGGCGCGACTGGCGTAGCCGCTCCTCGGCGCTCAGCGCCCGCAGACGCTGTTTCAGCTCGGCCCGCAGGCTCTGCTTGGCGCCTCTCACAGCCGCCGCCGCCATCGCTCGCCGCAGCCGCCCCCGGCCCCGCCCTCGGCTCGGCCCCCGCCAGGCAGCGCCTGCTGGGTCCGCCAACC